AAAAAAAAAATGTGGCTCAAACATAGCCTAAATAGGTGATATTTATCTAAACCAAACAGGGGCTAGATAATTGAGTTACTGCTTTTTCACTTTTATTTGAAATATTTGTCAACTTGTTCTTGCAGAAACATCTCCATGGTACTGCTGCTGGGGAAAATTTTCTTTTAGTACACCCCATATAGTCATTTTATGTCTCTGTTTCATGATATATTATTCTTCTGCTGTGAAAGATCGTTTAATACATGACATAATAGTCATTTTATGTATCTGTTTCATGATATATGTTCTGTTATGCAATGGTTTCCTGCCATAACATTTTCACTGTAGGCTGACATCTTTCGTGGAGAAAACAACATTGTTGATTTGTATGTCATGCTCCTTAGATTTTCAAGGTGAGAATGGATGTAAAATGTCACGAATTAATGTTTGATGAACTGAAAATTTCATATTGCAAATGAGATGGCTAGGTGGTAGGAAATTTAGAGGTGGGTCTATTGAACTTGTTTTGAGCCTCAGCCACTCATTGGAATCTCCATGGCTTCTTTTTTTCTAGTTTGGTTATGGATACGATACCATGCCATCGAGATTATCGGGTATCTCCACAGAGCGACAATTTTTATCTTAAAAAGGTAACAATTTAACAATCTCGCTTGTCCCATTTGTTTGTTGTGATAATATTTCTGACTACGGCCATTCTCCTTTAATCTACCGGTGCAGAAATTAATAAATGCAATAGCTGAGCTTGAGAAACTGAAGCCAGCTGTACAACTGAAACTCCAGGAGTTACACAATAGGAAACAACCTAGCACTAACCAAAATAATTCTAGGGAATATTCGCTGGGAAGTCCTATTGTCAAACAAGAAAGGTGGAATACTCATAGTAGAATCGAGGTAGAAACTAATGCTTCATTTAGTTAGATTATTACCATCTAACTGATATGTCTTTATTTGTTAGTCTTGATGAAACCTGAACTTATGTTGTAGTTTGTATCTAGATACTGAAACTAAAATTAAGAATCTTGAGGCAGTGTTCATTTTCTGTTATAGTTGTACATCACCTTTTCTAACTAATGATGCTGCTTCTGATAAAACTGAAAAATATTCATATTTATTATTTTTTATCTGACAGATGAGTCTGCCTGCTGCTAGTGAATTTGCATATCAAGGTCTGAAGACTCAACATCTCTCTCTTGTTAAACCGATGGAAGAGCATCACCGTCGAATGTTAGTATTTTTGTGAGAAACCATTCTTCATTCTTCGTGCACAAAGCATGCCTTACCTTTTAAAGTAAAATGATAGTAGGATTCGACATTGGTCCCTTAAGTTCATTGTTTACATCTCATTTTCAAAATTTTAGGATTAACAGTTTGTCCTATAATGGCGCTCGATTCACTCACCGGCTACAGATTCTGATTAGGGGAATTTCCTGAAATTATTCATTGAAATGAATCTAAAGATTCGCTTTTGATTCTATAT